AGGAAGTACGATGAAGTATTTGGGCGGGTGTGGGTGTGGGTGTGGGTGTGGGTGCGGGTGTGAGTGTAGGTGTGTGTGGGTGTGGGTGTGGGTGCGGGTGTGGGTGTGGGTGTGGGTTTGGGTGCGGGTGTGGGTGGGTGTGGGTGGGTGTGGGTGTGGGTGTGGGTTTGGGTGTGGGTGTGAATATCAGTGGCAGAAAAAGACACTCACACCTTCACCCACATCCACACCCTCACCCACATCCACACCCACACCCACACCCCACACCCACACCCACACCCACACCCACACCCCACACCCACACCCCACACCCACACCCACACCCACACCCCACACCCACACCCACACACACACCCAACCAACACCACCAATGCACATTCCTCATACACGTGCTCCGCTCCAAAAGACAGCACTCAACGTACATATCAAACACATCACACAGAATATACCACGTCTCTCTAATACGAAAAAAAAAATTTCGCAAGCTCTATGATAATTCATATAATTCATAGTCATGATTACTTCGTATTTAACTTCAACAATTTTTGTTAATTGATTTTTTATTATGAATACAAATCCTATTTGAAATAAAGAAAATTATCTTAAATGATATTAATATAGAAGTAAAATAGGTTTTTATTATGTTACAATATCAACAGCATATCGAACAACATACTGATGATGGACAGGAACGTGTCCGAAAGCTCTATGATAATTTCATATAATTCATAGTCATGATTACTTCGTATTTAATTTCAACAATTTTTGTTAATTGATTTTTTATTATGAATACAAATCCTATTTGAAATAAAGAAAATTATCTACCTTTCTTGTTAGCAGCAAGTTTTGATCCTACAACAGCACCAATAATAGCTCCACCAATGAATATAGCCATCAAGAAGCAGATTGGAATGATATATCTCTTCTTACGATACCATGATCGCCTTATAAATATAATAAAAAGTCTCGTGAAAAATATAATGAGATATAATGAGATTAGACTTACTTAATTTTTGGAAAAATACGTGCACCTAAACATAAAAATAATACTTTAATGTAAAATAAATAACTCAAAACATTTGCAATACCTTCGAAAGGTGGTTCTAATAGCACTTCTTCCGGTATTAATTGTTTCAAATGAACAATATAAAGCTCAGGTGCTGGACTCACTTGCGATTGATCTTCCATGTGAGTACCAGGAAGAAGAAGAACTTCATCTTCGGTGACAAAATGTGAATGACCATTTATTGATCGACCATTGATGACTTCGACGGAAAAGAGCGTTCGATCACCTGAAATACCCAAATACATATTGTTTTGGAGCACGGTTAGTGATGTTGTGCATGATGAAAATGGCCACCATGTTACTAATGTACCAGGTGGAAACTCTGCCCTCAAATTTCTGGTTACTCCTCGCCAGACAGTCAATTGTGGAAGGCATGGTAGTTTAATCACAGCAGTTAAGAATAGTTTAAGATATTTGAAGTAAGGTCGAACATCTTCTCGAGTACCTGTTTTCAAAGTATGATTGAGCATTGAATAGAGACTTCGATGTGGTGCATTCCATTCAATCGTATAGAGTCGAATTGCAGCACTTTCGTCAATTGTCAAATTATCAAGTGGTTCTTCTGGAGTTTCATTTAATGCCAACTGAACATACTTCGACAAATCGTGAAGGATGTCGTTTAATGGAGCACATGCTTTGACGAGTGGCAGCAAAGGTTCGTCGACATAGCCCAATATAGGATTAGAGGATTTTTTGAAATCGTTGACATCGTTCATAATTACTGAATTTATTTCTTCTCTGTTATGTTCAACATATATACGATCTCTTGTGCTAGCGTTATCGATCGTCTCATTAGTATCCTCTGATATTATTGTCTCTTGTCTTTGATCAACGTATTCTTCTGTATTTTGTTGAGAATCATTTCCTATTTTATCAAAAATTGTAATTCTTGTTTGGTCACTCTGAATATCATCATTGCTTTCTTTTACTTGACGCTTCACTTTCTTTTCCATTGTCGATGAATGTTGATGCTTAAAAATTAATGATTAATAATTATGCATAATCGAGAATTATTAATTATGGAAAACGTATATGAGTAACTCATTGCAATAGATTGTCATCAAACTTGCGAACATTATTCTTATCTCTTGCGATTGTTCTTCTTGTCCTAAATACAGTACTGCTCAAAAGTCTGGTACCACTTTTTGTGTATTCCGGGATATTAGAGATTGAGTATTATCCATATACGTACATCTATTTAATACGAAAAACCATTGAATATAAAATAGAATAAAAACAAACAAACTTCAATGCGAAGAAAAAAAATGACATTAAAAGCTACAAAATGATGTTGTTGCTTTATATTTCAATAGTTTGAATAAGGTGCAATGAATTTAAAAATCGAGCAACATTCTTTCTCTGATATTTTTACATAGTTCGATAGAGCTCGTCGAACTCTACAAAATTGTCTGTATTAAAATCTTTTCAAACCCTTATTTGAGATAAAATTCACAAAACCGAATGATATTTTTATATTTTTTATATGAAAAATCGACAATTTTTTTTCAAATAAAAAAACTCATCTTTTTGTACACTCTTTACATACTTTTTTGTGAATTTTATTTCAAACAAGGATTTGAAAAAATTTTAATACAGATAGTTTTGTAGAGCTCGACGAGCTCTATCGAACTATGTAAAAATATCAGAGAAAGAATGTTATTTAATTATTAAATTAATCGCACCTTATTCACACTACTGAAATTTAAAACAAAAGTATCATTTTGTAGGTTTTTATGTCATTTTTTTTCTTAGCAGTGAAGTTTGTTTGTTTTTATTCTATTTTATATTCAATGATTTTTCGTATTAAATAGACGTACTTATATAGATAATACTCAATCTCTACTATCCAGGAATAAAATAAAAAGAATTTTAATTATATTGGGTAGTTGTAATACACTACTCAAAACAAAAAAATGATACCAGACTTTTGAGCAGTACTGTATATTCTAGGCATGCGGGTGTGGGTGTGGGTGGGTGTGGGTGCGGGGTGTGGGTGTGGGTGTGGGTGTGTGGGTGGGTGT